TGATCAAGAATTTCCCAGCATCTTGTCAGCACTTTGATGTGTTTAAGAAAATTTAGTTTTTCTTATCTTCATCAGAATTGTTAGATGTCCTAAAAGAAGAATTGGTCCAAATAACCTATCTTGCCCTTGGCAGAAGCCAATGTTCCCTGAAATAAAGATTTTGAAAAACAAAACACACAAAAAATCTTTCCTCTGTCACCTCTCAATTGATTTAGAAAAATTTACATGAAATAATATTGATGTGTCAAGGATGTTATCAGTTGCATCATAAGGAAAGCTAGTCTAAGTATTTGGAATCTTTAATTAGTGGGTTTTCACTGATAGGATATGTGTAATCTCTTTGACTTCTCAACAGATGTTGGAGAGAAAAATGTTGTATTTTTTTTAAAGGATGCATTCACTATAAAGTACGGCAATATGGTTCTTTTGATCATTGTACTATGATGTAACTCAGACATCTTCATTGTTTGTGCAATTTCTCCAAACCCATGAAAGTTGATATACATCCCTCTGGCAGAAAACCAGCACTCTGGTTTGGGCACTGGGTTATTTAACCACCTGATAAATAGTTTACACTTGGGGGAACATTATGCAGAAATCTTTTCAACTAGCTGTGTTGACAGAGAAACTAAATATAGTAGTCAATGAAAAGAATTTAACACATTTTTGACCTAACGGTTAGAAAAAAAAAATCTTAAGATATTATCTACTCTAGAAAATGATTATATTAAAGGGAAAGCATGAATACTAGTGATTGTAAGTGTGATAACTAAATATCCACTGTTGTTTTTATTTTAGAGAAAATTTTAACTTTTTCTGTGTACATTCTTTGGGTTTGCTAAAAGTGGTGCCTGCTGCTAAATCTGAAAAATTTTGTTTCAAATTCTGGGCTCATCAGGCTTCAGGCAATTCACTTAGGCCTTCCGAAGCTCACTCATGAATGAGAATACCTTGCAGTGTTTTTACAAGGATCAGAGATAATATATGTAAAATATCTCACATAAATAGTAGTTATTAACATTCGAGAAAGAACTTTCTCTAGTTTAATCATATCCCCTAATTTGTCCTCCAAATTGATGACCCACAGTCTCAGGGATTTGGCATTATTTTAAAAAGAAAATGAGCCCTTTTTTTTATCTCGATATACTTACTTGAAGATTAATTATGGTACAGAATAAAGACATACTGGTTATGGCAGAATTAATTGTGTTCGCTTTAGAAGAGCTCACCTAGTCACCTGGAGGCAGACTGCTTACTAGACTACACAGGAATCTGCAGAAAAAACTGGAAGGCAGAGGTCAATAATTTGAACTCTGTGGAAGCTTCCAGGGGCATCGGGGGCAATTTTTTTTTTTAGCCTGTAAGCCTCCTATGGTGACATTCTAGCTTCCCTCCTATTAATACCAAATTACCACGACTGCAGTTGTCAAAAATGATGACACACTTACTCAAGGCTTTCATACTTATTATTGCATGTTTTCAATAAGAGTCTGCAAGAAAACCTAGCATGACTTTCACAAGCCAGAAGGGCCCTTGCTCCCTTTGGGGTTTGAAGGTATAGTAAGGGACCATCTTCCGGGGCAGTTAAATCAGTCCATCTACCCCGGCCATCAATAGTGTGGTAGACCTCTTAGCTTTTAAGTCACTAATTAACTAATTAAATAATCAACCTAATATCTTGTGAGTAATAGATAGAGTACAGCCCTGTACCAGATGTTAGCAGGGATGTTCCAGTATGTCCCTGCCTTCAACACACTATCGTTTGGTTCTTGAAAACTCACATCTAGTCTTTGAATTCCTTCTCACATTTACTTCTCTGATTTGATTCGCAGCAGATAAATAGAAATAAATTTTTCTAGGGTAGCCAAGGTCTCGGTTATGAATGTCTTTCCAGTCCATTCACACTACCCCAAACACTTATGCAGAGTTATCCATTACAAGTCATTCTACAATCTTCATCAAACTGCCTGCTAAAGGAAGCCCAGTATTTATTACATTTTTTCCTAAATGGAAAACAGCTGTGATAAATTAATCCATTCACCAGAAATGGAACGATTCTCAGATAGTCTCTCAACTGTTAGTCTTTCCAGCTCTGAATAATATATTCCTCCGCCCCATCTGTGTCTTCGAGTGTGGCTAATTCACTTGGCTCCTTTTCCACCGCTCTGTGAGGTACACTAGAGGTGAAAAGTCTCCTGGGCCAGACTAGCAATATTTAGATGACAAATACATATTTAAAAAAAGAAAAAAGTATCACTCGGGAGGCAGCATAGTCCACAACAACAGAACACATCCCTCTAGGGCCCAGGTTAAGATCCATGTCCATGCAGAGCCTCAGTCTCTTGCTTGTGGAGTCACCTAACGCAGGTATCACTGCTAATGTCACCAAACATTCAGCCTCAGAATTAACTTCCTCTCCTCTGATTCTATAATAACAAACCAATATTCTGACTATAAGTTGGTCCCCCAAATAGATTTCCACACTTGGGTACAGTGTGCTTTCAAAGGAGAGATTTTCAGTTCCTTCGGTGGTTTTTCATTATCAACTGACATTTTGACAAACTGAAATATCTGAGGCTGCTAAGTCATGGCCCAAACGTTGCACTAGGGTGATTTCACCAAAAATATGCCATGTTGGCTGCCTCTCTTTCATCAGCCCCCTCCCTTGCAAGCTGTGATATTCAATTTCTTCTTGCCTTCTATATAGGCCTTCACTTGCTTATTTACAAGGTGATAATTATTGACAAATTTACGTTTCTTCTCTCTGGTCAGTAATCCTGGTGGTCGATTTTCTTTACAGGAAATAAAATCTACCCCAGATATTTTAAGGCGAAAGAGATAGAATAAATTAGGGGCCTACAAAATAATGGGAAGGGCTGGGAAAGTGGGATAGGTTAGTCACAGGAATGACTCCAAAAAAGACAACAGAACTGACCCACAAAGTGACGCGATCACTTCTGCCACAATCAAGAAGGTGGGAACCCACCTGGAGGGTGCCGATGGAAATCCGGAGTTCCAGCACAGCACCACTGCTGTGAGTCAGGGAGCAGGAAACGGGGAGGGACCAGGAGGCCACCACCACCGCAGCCTCCTCCACTCAGAAGTCAGTGCACACAGAATTGTGAGGTCTACCCCAACTGCCTCTTGTTATTAAACAGCAGAAGAAAAAAAGCAAACTAAACAAAAAGAAATAACTGTATCCACAGCCTTTCTTGACAGCAGAAGACAGCCGAAAACCGCAGGAGAAAGGCCTCCTTTTCAATTCTCTCTTCAAAATCTAAGTCCAGGGGCATCTATTTGATGGAAGTGTTTTCGTCCGGAACATAAGTAATGTAGTTTTTTTGTTGATTTTTTTTTTAAAACTCTCCAGCCTTTGCAAGATATAAAGGATGCTCCAGATCTAAGGAGGAAAGAAAACTGGCGATTGACCACATTCCCAGTATTTTCAGTTCAATTCGTTTTATGTTCCTATAAACTTAATGGAAGTTATAGTGAAGGCGTAGTATCTTTCACATAGCTTACTGCTCCCGTGTAATATCTTACTGCCCGTGTACGCATTTGTGAGTATGATCAAAATTGTGCACTACAGTTATTTGTAAGTTATACTTAGTGTGATGTACTGCATCAGATCCTGTTTAGTTTCTTGCCCAAGGAGGCTACAACTAATGATTAACTATGTAATGTGTGTACCATTGAATGTCCCCATACCACACACTGTGGAAAAATAGAAAGATAAATCCCCACTGAAAAGCATAGCAGTTTCATTTGACTTCTTTCATCCCATATTTACTTTAATGATATAGACGCCCCCAAATCTGCTGTTCCTTTCCTCTCTACTCTGCCAACGTTTTCTAATTTAAGTATTGTCACTTTTCTGTAGCTTTCCAATTATTTCTTTCAAAATATTCAAATAGAGGTATTCTCTCTTCCAGTTCATAGGAAACTATAGAGTAAAAAAATGTGTGCTCAGAGAAAAATGAAAAATATACAGTGACTTTTGTAACGCCCCCCCAACTTCATTTATCTATAGGATGGCGTTTGATAGCTTTGTGTGAGCTTTTTAAAGTTCAGCCAAGCCAGCTGCATGATCAACAGGGAGACAATAGCTCCCACACACGGGGCTGCACGGATTAAAGAATCCATCCATCAGTAAATCTGCCAGATGGCAGTGGAAGAAAGCTTGTAACTCTCTCACTTTCATTTCAACAGCAGCAAACAATGTTCAATGTTTAAAATAAACTCTTCCAGATGAGCTAAAGATAAACTCTGAGGTGGGTGGACTTGAGTTTGCGAGGCTGCAGCGCTGAAGTGTTTGATTACATTAACACAAAATCCCTGGGTAGAGCCCGCTTCTGTCAACAGAATGCTTAGACGCGAACACCTACTACATGAAGCCACTTCCTGTGCTTTCATGGGTTGGTGGCAGAAACTCGCACTGCTGTTTTCACAAACTAATAATGATTATATATTTCTCAGTGCCTAGCATTTCCTCAAGCCCTGTGTGCAACTTCCAGATATGCCTAAAACACCAACACTGTTATATAGATCTGCACAGATAAAAATCTTTTGACTAAATTTGCTAGTTAAACTTCTATTTACTTACTTTCATCTTATTGCTTTCATAGTAGAAAAAAGGTGCCATTAGGATTTAGAGCCATTCTGCTAATAATTGGATAATTGTCCAGGTCTATGGAGCATCCAAAAAAAAAAAAAAAAAGAAAAGTACTGGTATTTTCTTAGGTTAGAATTTATAAAGGAAATTTGAAACTTCTTTTTTTGTTATTTTTTTAAGTAGACTTTAATTCCTGAAACTTAGGACAGATCAAGCTGTAATACATCATATGTAATGTGACAACTTCTAACCATAAAATGACACACTGAAAAGTAACTCTGTTAAGTGTCTGAGACCTTATCTATTTAACATAATTAAATGAGAGAGAGAAGCAGAGTTGATAATGAAAATAAGGCTTCGGCTGCAAAAACATTCAGGACCAAATATATCAAATCATAAATTCAATATATTGGGACATTTGAAAAAAATAAAACATATTCCAAAATTTAGATTAGAAGGCTTTGGGAAAATATGATTCACTACACAGATACACTTATTGTCAGTTCCTCCAAACTGAAATGTTTCCGTCAGTGATAATTCTGTTTTATACAATAGGAGCCTTCTTATTCGAAATTAGTTAGTTACATGAAAAGTTGATTAAAGAAGAAAATCATAAATAATCGTATGCAACACAAAATTATTATCTGAATTTAAAACACAGAAAATGTTCACTCATTTCCCAACTTCTGATATAAAGCCGAAGGCTTGTCTTTGTTGTTTGAGTTCACTTAGAATTTCACCTTACATTACACTCAAATTATATAGTCTATGATTTCTAGCTTTTGTGTCTTTAAAATGGAGTCAAAATTTAAAGCCACTTGCAAAGCACTGAATATAGACACTTTTTAGATTTTTATATTTATTTTTAGTATCTGACTGTTGTTTTGAAACTTTATTCAACTGTAAGTTTCTAGTGATTTGCCTTCATTTAGTTTTTACAAAGCACTCAGCTTACTTTTCACGGAAATTCTCTTTCTCTGTATTCATATTTCATTGGTTTGCATTATGATGAATAACTTCTATTACGATTATCAACAAACACAGCTCACAGACACACACAGATTTCATCTGGTTCCCTTTGTTGCCTCCTGTGTCCCCCAAGCCTGGAATAAAGCCTGGCACATACTAGGCATTCAATAAATATTTGTTAAATAAATGTTACCCAGTGCATAACAGAACAGGTGGGAGCAGAAATGCCAGAGGTAGCTTAGAGGGGATACTGCCCGTCTAGTGCATTCGCATGCTGTGGGCATCAGTCACCACATCTTGCAAAAAGAACGGAGAATCAGTTAATACAGCAAGTCTATTAGGTGATGGTATGTTACGAGTGCTTCTACTATACTTTGATTAAACCTGTAGTGTAGCAAAAACTCTTCCTTAATGCCGGTATAAAACTGAGCACACCATCTAACTTACCTCTAGGAATAAACGCCCTTCCTCCAAGTTAACCTGTAACTAATTTAACTCCCTCTTGTCCGGAGAAGGTTTGTGAAACATCTGAAGCTGTTTCTGTGGGGGCCCCGCTCTTGAAGAGTGATTAGTAACATGTCCTGTCTTCAGTGTTCCTTAGCACATTTGGAATCAATTAAATATTCAAATATAGATTCTCTCAGATCTCTGGCCAGGCCCAGCAGATTTGGGAGAGAGGGAGGTGAAGGCAGATCACCGCTGTTCTTCCTGCCAGAATTGATAGCTGGAGAGAGACTTAAAAATACACTCTCAGACTTCCTGGGTCTGTAAGCAAATAGTCCCACAAGATTAGAAATGATCTGGAGAAACAACAGGAGCCTTTTTAAGAAACAGGAGTAACAGTTTACACAGGAACTGCCGCTTTACACTGTGTCTTAAAGACAAGTAAGTGAACATATCCGGATGTTGCATAAGTACAACAGGATAGCCCGCATGAGCCAAGCATGGTCTTTATGTTTTTAAAGACTTGTTCAAAAAAATATGTAACAGAGACTGCATGTGACCTAATAATCTTAGGTATTTACAATCTAGCCTTTTTAAAAAATGTTGCTGACCCTTGATTTAGACAGAAGCTCAGAGAGGTTAAGTAACTTGCCAAGGTCACAGAGAGAACTAAGCAGTGGAGTCGTTCATCAAACCCAGTGCAGTGGTATATCTAAGCAGTGAAATGGCTTTCCCAGTTAAACGCTACTTAGAACCCCACTGTATAAAATAGTTACTCTGAGTGAATTTGAGGCAGAAGACCCAGAAATCTTACTCCTTTTCAGAATAAGCTGCTTGAAATAGAAGTCAATGTTTCAAAAGATTAAGTCAATAATCAACAGGAAAATGGGTTTCCAACTAAAATTATTCCATTATCTGGCACATCACATGCTTCTTTTTAACAATATTTTGCTAAGGGTGAGTTAGTATCAAAGTAACAGAATTGCTTTTTCTTATTTCCTTGCCCAGTGAAATAGTTAGAAGTCAGCAGAAGGGGGAAAGAAGAGAGAAGCAAATGGCTTAAATAATCTTCAAAATCTAATATATACAGTTATATATACTACGGCTGTTAGTCCTCAGTTCCAACAAACACCGAGTGGGAAGGACATCTTCCAAATGGCAGCTCATTTTACCTTGATAGTTGGTGTTTCCAGATGAGTTTCTAGTTTTTCATCATGATAAATTAATATATCCTATTTTATTACAGTGCCACAAGCAAGAACTCCGAAAGGCTCAACTCTTACAAAAGGCCCAAATCCCCTGAAAAGCATCAGGTATCAAAATGCAGCCAGAAAAGATGGTATTAAATGGAAAAAAAAGAAAAAGAAGAAGAAAAAGGGCTCCTTTTTAATGAAGTCGAGGTGTAGGACAGATTTATTAGCTTCCATTTTTCCAGGTTGCATTCTGATGTATTTCCTGCCCATATTTCTAAATTCAGCAGGTCTCTTTGTAGGGTTATTTTTTTAAAAATATGTTTCAAAGAACATGATGCAGCTCTAACGACTACACCTGCAAGGACACACCTGTGATGATACAAACACTAAGTGTTTCTCATATTCGCAACCCAGCACTCTAACAGAAAACAGACCTTCTATGTGAACTGCCAAGATCCTGCCATTCCTATAAAGAACTGATACTGTAACCAGATATTAGTCTTAAAAATAATAACCAATCAAGGATTACCCCTGACCAAAATGGTCATTAAATTCAGTGTAGTTCAGTCCATCCCTTACTGTTACTTCTTTTCTCAATATTACAGTTAAGACAAATAGTTAAGATTATTATTTTTTGTTGTAACACAGATGCCTACAATATTCCTACTTACTTAATACTCCCGCTTACTCAATATTCCTACTAAATAATAGCAAAAATAATTGAGTAATAATTACTTATTATTTATTCAAACATCATTGAATGTCTACTGTGTGTCAGGTACTGCCCCTGATTCTTGAGGAAGGAAAACTAGTAAGAATATAATAAAAGAATAAAATCTTTCCCTGGATAGTTCCTAACCCAACTGTCCAGCTGGGCTTGTGAACAAATAGTTAGCACACTAAGTTTCTAGTAAATCTGCCAAGATCAATGAAAACAAAGTAGAGTGAGAACTGGTTCCTCCTCTAGGTATTAAGACAAAGAACACACTTGATGGGCACGCACGTTAAAGGCTAAGTAGTATTCCCAGGGAGAAAGAGGATGTTCCAGATTGGAAGAACAATATAAGGAAAGGCCCAGATTCAAGTGGGTGGCTGGTCTATATTGAGGACTGGGTTATATACAAAGGAATGGGTGGGGGTGTACTGTCCAAGACATTAGTAACCCAACCTATTTAAATTGAAATTAACATTAAATAATATTAGAAATTCAGTTCTCAGTCATATTTTAAGAACTCAGTAAACACACGTCTAGAGTCTACCACATTGGACAGGGCAGTCAGAATCATTTCTATCACTGCAGAAAGTTCTATTGGACAGCACTGAGAATAAGAGTACAAGGCAAGCCTGTGGCCAGTTCATGGAGTCTCAAAAGCATACTAAAAAGTTGAACTAGAAATGGTTTAGAAACTACTGAATTCCACAAAGTCCCTTCAGGAATAGCCTTGGAGGACTCCATCCTCACAGCACTGCCATGACCTGTCTACCCATCCAACTTCCACATTTGAGTAAGTCTTCCTTTGAAGAAAGAAATTCTGTAGCTTTAAAAAAAAAAAAAAGGAGAATTGGAAACCACCACAGGTTTTTAAGCAGGGACATGGCACCGTGACACAGGCATGGGTTTTAGAAATATTACTTCTTAAAGCAGTGCAGGATATGTGGGAAGAAAAGACAGTGAGCATACGGGGATCAGTACAGGATAATGGGATAAAGGATTAATTTCAGTGAAACTTCTGAAGAAATACACAGTTAAGAATTTGCATCAGTAAATTTATTCCAAGTAAGAATTACACATTCACACCAGGCATATTATTTCCACACAAAAACCAGCATTATGATTAAAGTACTGAACACCTTAAATATACCATAAACTCAGATAATATTTAATCTATTTTAAATCACTGAATTCTTTAGTATTTGTAATCCATGCTTCAATTATAATTCTTAAAATATAACTGCATCACTCAGTATAATTATTCATATGCTTATTATATATATATTTAAATTATCTTTTCTGAAATTTTAGGTTCTTCAAAAGTAACCTTTTAGTAACTTCAAAATATCCACATGTACCTCTTAGCAGGACTACTGTAAAACCAAAATTGTGTTTTCAAGTAGCAAGTGCCCAAGCCACACCACTCCTGATCAAAGACAGAGCAGACATCCAGTTTTATAAATAGCTCTCTTCCACTCCTTGTTCCTATTTTAATATGCCAACCATTACTTCACTGATATCCCAGAGTTTTCTTGCAACAGATTCATCCATAGCTTTGGGCAATAGTTCTTCCTCTTTACAGTCTCCAAAGTACTTTCCTGACACACCTTCTACCTCAGGTGAAGAGGCTAAATAAATCGAAGTCTGCGCACCTTCTAGTGGAGTTTTGAAAAAAGCCCATGACACCAAATTGAAAAGTGGTTTGACCAACAGTGGGATGTGTATGTGTCTCCCAAGGTTAGTCCGCACAATGCCAGGGTGTAAGACATTGACAGTGACGTTCGTGCCTTCTAAGCGGCGGGCTAATTCTCTGGTAAAAAGAATGTTAGCCAGTTTGCTCCGACTATAACAGAAGCTTTTATTATAGCTTTGTTCACTGTTCAAGTCTTCAAAGTTGATGTCTCCGTATTTATAAAGTTTGGAGGAGACTACCACAATCCTGCTGGGAGCTGAACTTTTCAGGAGTCCAAGGAGAAGATTGGTGAGTAGAAAGTGCCCCAGATGGTTCACTCCAAACTGCATCTCAAACCCATCTTCAGTCTTCATGTAAGGGCACTGGAAGATTCCTGCATTATTGATCAAGACATCCAGTCGAGGCTCTTCCTTTAAATGTCAAAAAGGGAATGGCAGAATTGTGAACACAGGCCTTAAATGTGCCGAGAATAAAATTTTAAAAAATTCTTGCAAACTACTAAAACGTCTCTGAGTTTTCAACAATCGAGAGAAAAGAAGATGACGACTTGCATGCTTACTGGGGCCTGACCTCGTGCGTTTCATGTTACCTCATCTATTCTCAACAACTCTATAAGCAAACTGCAGCACCCAGTACAGCATCACAGGACACCTAAGTAGCAAGCAAAAATCTTAAAATGAAATCTGAAATGGATGTCCCTGTTCTTAATTAGTAAGCTAGCGTGCTCCTCTAACTGGGATTTTCAAACCGCAGCTTGACAGCCGATGTGAGCTAGAGTGGAACTACAGCAGAGAACAGGTCAGCACTGTTTATGCCCAGAGCTACTAGTATCAACACCAGGGGCAAGTTAGGGTTGCTTTATTATGCAGTTTTCTAAGGGGAAATGGCACCATGGGGGTGGAGCAACTTCAAGTTGTTTCCTTAAAACTGGGACAAGCAATAGAGAGGCTCAGGGATGCAGATTAAGACTGGAGAGAACATCGTGAATAAATCAAAGAAACAATAAGAAACAAATTAAACAGGTAATATAAAAATATCAGAAACAACCCCATGAATCATACATACTAAGTTTCACAATAACAGCAAAGGAGATGAACAGAGGAGGTAGGCCCAACAAACACCTTTAACTTCTACGATTACTCCAGAATTCACAACTCTGTTTTCCCTATAAGAAATCTCTCTCTTCCAAGCTTCCAGGGGCCAACTTAGGAGATCCACACAGTCAGAATTTTGCATTTTGACCATATCTTGCATCTTTCCAGATTAAAGTCCTAACGTTTAGACTGTCCTCAAAGGGAAGTCTTTTCATTCCTTAATTCATGTAAGCTGGTTTTCCGTCGTCCTTTCCTGGCTCCCCTGTCTCTTCTGATGGGCAGAGAAAAAGAAATGTACTACACATTCCAGGTGTAAAGACACAGTGATGACCCACAATTAAATACATCTGAGGTCAAATTTCAAATATCATTGGCTCTTCTGCCAAGTATACGTGAAAAGAAAAATGTGTTAAATTTCACAACTGCTATCAGAGCCTACCTGTCAGAGGATTAACTATTTCTCATTCTGTCTGTCTAAGCACCTTTTGCTTTTCCAATAGTCAACTTCAAAAAGAAGGCAAAAGTTCACCCGTGGGGGAAAGAAAGGAGTGTTCTTTTCAGTAATCCTTTGGAAGAGTTTCCTGTATTAATCATTTCTGAGCCATCATTCTTTGCTGGGCTTGTGTTATTTTAAGACTTTATCATTTACTGTTTTTTAAAATCTAGGAGATAAATGACATAAATACCAAGAATACCAACCTGTGGGAAATTTACACTTCCACTTTTTTTTTTTTTTAAATTCTGGTTATAGTCACTGAACTACTGAACTTCAGAGCACAGAAAGAATACATACTTAGAAGCAAGAGCAACTTAGTTATCTCTTTATCACCTTAACTTTTAATTGGTTCTGTCTCAGGTGGCCAAAGTAGTAAAACAAACAAACAAACAAACAAACAACAAAACATAGGTATCAAGGAATAAATATATCCAGTCCCACCTACATTTTTAATGAAGAATAGGAAGACCCACTTTTGATTCTACCAATATCTCTTATACACTATTATTTCTTATTTCTTAACCTATTTTACCTGATAATGAGCCATAAAAACAAAACAAAACACCCTGTAGATCTGTAACAGTTCCCAAACTGTGCATCAAGGTGCCCTAGGGAGTCACAAGGAACTCTCAGGGTGATTTGGGAGTGATCTGGAGTATTTTAAATTTTCAAGGGAAAGAAAATGATACTCTGTTCAATATCTAAAAACTACAAGCTCCAGGTGGTTCACAGCTTCGACATCATAGTGTGCTATATTCCTTTTGATGATGTCATATCTTTGCAGGGCTGACTTTTTAGCAGTTGCTATAATAAAATCCAAGTACAATGTTAAAATCGACATAGAACAGAAATAAGGGTGGCTATGTTCCCATCTGATTTCAAAGTCTGACAAGTTGGAACAGTGAGCAACAGACGCACATTTCCCATTAGTATACTTATGGTTATAATAATTATGGTGATTGAAAAATGAAAAAAAAATCCTTTTTTCTTTCAGCTATGTATATTATTTTTTCAAACAGCTACCAAGTTGTTGCATAAATAATTATTAGGTTGCTTGGACCTAATTACTTAATAAATAAACTGTAGATATTTCCTTTGGCCTAAGGGCATCATGAAAAAATTAGAAAGTTTGAGAACTTCTGCTCTAGACTCAAGAGACTCCTTTTCCTATAGGCTCCTTTTCTGTGCCAACTAATTTTAAACATCACTCTTGCCTTCTTGGAAGTCACCTCTGCAGGAAATCCTTCTACCTCAATTCCAACAGAGGACATTCATTTCAGTGGAATATTTACTATCTAAACAAAGAAATCCTGCACGCTCACTGGGGCAGGCAGTAGGACTATAGGTGTTAAAAGCAAGGACTTTAGAGACAGGTCCTGGGCAAGTTACTTAGCCTACGTATGCCTCAGTTGCCTTAGGTTGTAAAATAGGGATAATAATGCCTACCTCACAGTTACTGTAGTAATGGATGACAGTAAGGACCACGGTCACTTTAGTTTCAATAAAAAACTTTTTTTTTTCAAAGTATCTGAAATGCTTGGAACAGCCCCTGGCACATGGCAAACCTTAAATAAATGCTAGATGTTATTTTTATTTCAGGAACCGTTTAGAGCATATGACCACTGGCATTCCAAGCTCCAGTCTATTTGGAAATTAGGCCAGAGTCAGGTTAAGGATGGCACTAATAAGTTCACTGGTGGCAGAAAGCTAAACTTCCTACTCCAGCAGGGGGGAAAACAATAATAATTGCTTTAAGGTCCTTGGCTAGCAACTTCCCCTACGTGCTCTCATGCTCTTTGAAGAGATGGCTTGGTGCAGATTCACTTTGGACAGAAGACAAACAATCCAGAGACCTGGCGGATCTCCTCCTGGGCTGTCCTCACATAACAAGAGGAAATGTTCAGAAACTCGCTTATTTTCCTCTTGGGTCCATTTTCTTCTCAACATTCTTGGAAGACAGAAGACTGTCCTACCAATTTTTCCGGCCTCCAATTCCCAAGCCGCCTCAATCATTCGATTGTTTCTACTCCTAACCTCAGTCATTCCCAAGGTCACACCCCCTCGACTCTGGGCGGTCCCTTCTCGGCTCAGCCCCCGGCCCTCCAGGCCTCGCGCCGCCCGCCCAGGCCCCTGGCCCCTCCCCCGATCTCTAGCAGGCTCCCCGGCCGAGCCGCACACCTGGAGCATCTCCTGACAGAAGGCGCGCACCGAGCGCAGCGAGGCGAGGTCCAAGTGCTTGACGACAAGCTCACCG